GTTTAGGGTGCATGGAAGCATCCACAGGATTTATAATACACCATGCTCACAGCCAGTGCACTGAACTGCACTGCAGAGATTTGGACCCAAGCATGCGCTTTGGCTCTGACTCCTCCAGCTACCTGTGGGGCCTCCTGTGATTGGCACGGCCGCCACCTCTAGAACCAGGGAGGGCGGGAGGATGGGGGAGCCACGGGCTGCCCTGCCTGTCCGTCAGGAACCTCAGAATTAACCTTGGAACGAATGAGTTGACGGTAGGGGGTGTTTTTATGAGGCAAGTGGCTTCCCATGCCGCATCAGTGGAAGCAATCTCTCCACGCATGACAAGGCTTCTGCCCTGGGTCCCTCAGCTGCTGTACATTGTGGGTGGTGATTAAGGCCTGATAGGGCCAGCCCCAGGGCCTGAGCCTTAGGATCAGAAATCCACTATTGACTTGTTTCCACCGCCCATCTTCTCTTTAAGAATACAAAGGGCACAGGAAGGCAAGTACCAGGGCAGAGAAGGCCAGATTTCATTTATTTCCTGCCACACAGGAAACCTGAAAAATGACAACAGCACGGCAGCGTGGGTCAGCTGTGGTATTCTTAGCACCATGAAAAGCCTCAAGTCTTCACTGAAATGTTTACCCTCCCTTTTCTCCTCTCTGCTAGAGTGCCTGTTGCGTCCATGTTGATTGATAAAGGTTCTTTACATGAGGAGGGTATCATCCATTGTGTGTCTAACATTGGCAAACACAAAATCTTTCTTCAGTCTCTTGCCTTATAGTCTATTTATTTATTTATTTGCTGGTTGTGGGGCTTGAACTCAAGGCTTAGGCGCTGTCCCTGAGCCTCTCTGTGCCCAAGGCTAATGCTCTACCACCGGAGCCACTGTGCCACTTCTGGTTTTCTTGAGTAGTTCACTGGAGATAAGAATCTCATGGGAACTCTTCTACCCAGGCTGGCTTCGAACAGCGATCCACAGATCTCAGCCTCCTGTGGAGCTAGAATCCTAGCTCCTCAGGCGTGAGGCACCATCGCCCAGCTTTTTAACTATGTTTTTTTTTTTAATTTTAAAAATATTTTTATTATCTTTAATTGTACAAAGGAGTTGCCATTCAACAAAGCAGTTTATGAATTAACTATGTTTTTAAAATAGATACAAGTTAAGTTTTGTGGGGTCAAATCTCTCAACCTTTGTAGTTTCTAAAACTTCCCCCAGTCCAAGATTATATAATTAAAAACTCAATAAACCAGGTGCCAGTGGCTCATGCCTGTAAACCTAGCTGTGGATGTAATACTGTGTTGTGCACAATTTAGCCCAGTTAATGAGTGGAAATCAACAAATAGGATCCCCTTTACTAAAAAGCAAAGCTACTCTCCCCACTAATACACTGCTCATGGTGTGAATAAGTAATACAAATGCAAGACCCAAGACTCCCAAACAGAGACTCTCCCCATCTTCTGTGATTCAAGCTGCTATACGCACATTTTCTATAAAGAAGAACTTTGTTCTCTCAACTCATTCTGCTTCAGAAAAACAGGATCCATTGAGAACTATAACAATGTTACTTAAGAGCTTGGGAGAAATAGTTGGAAAGACCTATGTTGAGCCTGTCATCCTAGCTACTCAGGAGGCTGAGATCTGAGGATTGTGATTTGAAGCCAAGGCAGGAAAGTCCATGAGACTCTTTACCTCCCATAAACATCCTCCCCACAAAAAGCCAAAAGTGGAGCTGTGACTCAAGTGGTAGAGCACTAGCCTTGAGCAAAAGCAGCTCAGGGACAGCATCTAGGCCCTGAGTTCAAGCCCCAGGACAGGCACACACACCTACTTTGGCTAAGATATCTTTCCAACAAGCCGGAGCAACTGGTTATTTCTCTAGATGGGCAGTTTTCAGTCGGACAATCCCCATGAGTCTGGACCTTTGCTAACTGGAGTCTCCTTCACATCATGGCCAAGTTCAAGTCTAGAGGTTAATCCCTGATCAATCCAGCAGAAATGTAACCGGAAGATGATACAGAAAACAGGCAGGAGATCAAACACCATCATCACAGGCGGGGTTAACTGTCTTTAGCTGGAGTCAGGTAGAAGGCTAGGACATATGTTTAGAGGTCAGTAAATCTTCTTTTATCAGAACACATGCTGTTTGAGGGGCTAGCTCTTCCTCCTCCTCACTGGTGGAGAAAGTCTAAGTGAAGGAGCCACGGGATGGGGGAAAATAAATCCAAAGCTCGGAAGCAAAATTCATACTGAGAAGCAAAAGAGGGGGAGAAATAGATGGCAAAGTTTTTTATTTGTTTGTTTTTTTGTCGGTTGTGGGGCCTGAACTCTGGGCCTGGGCGCTGTCCCTCAGCTCTTCAGCTCAAGGCTGGTGCTCTACCACTTGAGCCACAGCACCACTTCCGATTTTTTCTGCTTATATGGTGCTGAGGAATGGAACCCAGGGCCTCGTGCATGCAAGGCAAGCGCTCTACCACTGAGCCACCTTCCCAGCCCCGATGGCAAAGTTTTAAACCCATTTTCTCTCATGGAAATGTGGAAGGTTTTTCCCTGGCTGTGATCTTTAATTGCTTGCTTCATTTAAGTGTCAGCCAACTTGTCTGTGGGCGTCACAGGGTAAGAAATGGAAGAGACGTTTGGGGAAAGTGTCTCCCTGCCCCGGTATTATCTTGTTAGCTTGTTTATGGCACATGCGTAGACCCGGGCTGGTACCTGCCTGCCCAGCTTTCCCCTGCAGACCTTGGTCCTCTGCTTTTAACCAAATCCTGCCCGGAAAGCAACATCTCTAGAAAGGTCACATCCTACTTGTATCCTTCCATTTGAAGACTTGGTACTCATGTGGTGATTTAGTATTCTCTGTGCTACTGCTTGTTTCCACCAGGGTGATAAACACCCCCCCCCAAAAAAAAAAATATGTTCTGTATTGAGAGAATATGGCATTCAAAACCATGCATGGAGCCCCTTCCCACAGAACAGATGCTGCGTCTCGCAGGAAGAAGCCACTTTCCCCCTCTCCACAACGGCAGGAGATGGAGTTGTGCAGCCGTAGTCCGAACTGGTTATTGCTTCAAAAACCCTCCAACCTAAGTCCTGCCAACACTGAAACGAATTAAATGTTGTAGACTCGCAACTGTAAAAGAAATAAGAGCAAGCCAGACACCGAGGGCTCATGCCAGTAATCCTAGCTACTTAGGAAGGCTGAGATCTGAGGATCGTGACTCGAAGCCAGCCCAGGCAGGAAAGTCTGTGAGACTCTTACCTCCAATAAACCACCGAAATGCTGGACACACAGGTTTGGCTCAAGTGGTAGAGTGCCAGCCTTGAGATCTTGAGTTCAAGCCCCAGGACAGGCACAAATGGATATACATATGCACGTGTGCACGCGCACATACACACACACACACACACACACACAGAAATGAAAATAGTGACAATGAACCCACTGAGATGCATAAAGAATGAGCTAGACACACAAGCCCCTACTGTGTGCACACACACACACACACACACTTCCTTGTCCTCACACAGAAGAACTTTAAATTCATGCAAATCAGGAGTGGATTTTTTAGCACAAGTGAGGAGTACTAGTATTTTTATACATCTTGTCAACTAAATATCAGTGTTTGAGAGACACGAGGCGGGGGCGGGAATGAGATGGAGTGAATCCTGGCCATTTGTGGGTGGGGGTTGAAAACCTGAAAGGTTAAATAAAAAGGGAGGGATCCCTTTCTCATTATATCACCAACACCTTCCAGGCAAACTAAAAAGAAGTGCACTTTAGTCATTCTGGTTATCAGATACGTCGGGGTGCTAAAACCATCTGGTCAAAATCCAGCTTTCTGACTCGATCTTGGAAACCAAATACAGTCACAACGTGGGGATGAGGCGATGAGCTTGGGCTTTGGTCTTTTTATTTTTCTGTCAGTCCTGGGGCTTGAACTCAGGGCCTGGGCACAGTCCCTGAGCTTTTTTGGCTCAAAGCTAGTGCTCTACCACTTTGAGCCACAGCTCTGCTTCTGGTTTTCAGGTAGTTAATTAGAGATAAGAGTCTCACCGACTTTCCTGCCTGGGCTGGCTTTGATCCACATTCTCACATCTCTACTCAAGAGGCTGAGATCTGAGGATCATTATTGGAAGCCAGCCCAGGCAGGAAAGTCGGTGAGACTCTTTTTTTTTTGGGGGGTCCAGTCGTGGTGCCTGAACTCTGGGCCTGAGCGCTGTCCCTCAGCTCTTCAGCTCAAGGCGAGCGCTCTACCACTTGAGCCACAGCGCCACTTCCGGCTTTTTTTCTTTTTGCTTATGTGGTGCTGAGGAATGGAACCCAGGGCCTCAGGCATGCAAGGCAAGCGCTCTACCGCTGAGCCACCTTCCCAGCGCTGATCGGTGAGACTCTTATCTCAGAAAAAAAAAAAAAAAATCACAGAAAAAGCCAGAAGTAGTGCTGTGGCTCATGTGGTAGAGTGCTGGCCTTGAGCCAAAAAAAAAAAAAAAAAGCCCATGGATAGGGCCCAGATCCAGAGTTCAAGCCCCAGGAGCGAAAGGAGCCAGCCAGAGCTGTTGTGTAAGTAACGCGTATCCCGCAAGTCCTATGCAGGAAGGCTTGCAGACTCCAGACCACTGCCTCGCTCCCCTTCGAGCTGGGCTGAGGAGACATGCTTGAGGCTCTCACCAGAAAACAGTGCACTTTCTGAGGCTGACAGAGTTCAACAACAACAGGCATTTGCCCTGATGTTTAATTTTAGATGCTTGATTAATTACAGCAGGATAAAAAAAAAAGGTCCCTCAGCCAGGAGTCCCAATAAATAGACTAGATCAAGAAAAGAAACTGCTGTGTGTACTACTCCTGTGCGTCTTCTCGGAATTCACAACTATCTCATTACTGCAGAGGGAGCACACACACCCCATCCCAGCCCCTCTCCAGGGAGACCACTAAGCCCCGGGGACTTGAGGGCAGCTTCCCTTCACAAAGCATGAGCTGATCCGACCTCACGAGAAAGGGTGGTCTGCTTCCTCCTAGGGTCGAAGAAAGTTTCAAAACCTTATTTTGGTCCATATTTGGCCTCTCCGAAGTCATCTCGGTGGTGCTGAAATACGACCACAAGTTCATCGAGAACATCGGCTACGTGCTGTACGGCGTGTACAACGTCACCATGGTGGTAGTGCTGCTCAACATGCTCATAGCCATGATCAACAACTCCTACCAGGAAATCGAGGTAAGGCCAGCCCATTGGAAGTGGGCTTCACCCTTGACGCTGATCTCCAATCAACTACCAAAAGGCCACACTGGAGGTGTGGCTCAAGTGGTAGAGCCTGGAGCAGGAAAGTTAGGGGATAGCACTCAGAAGAGGGAGAAGCCATTAAGTTGGAAGATCCCAGTCTGAAGTCAGCCCCAGGCAAAAAGACCCCATCTGAAAAATAAAGCCGAGAAAAGAGGGGGCGCTGAGGGTGTGGCTAAGTGATGGAGTTTCTGCGAACAAGTGTGAGGCTCTGAATCTATCCCCCAAATTCTGACAAAAACAATATTAAAATTTAAAGTAAAAAAAAACAAATTGGCCTCAAGCTGTTTTCTGAGGGTAGAGGATCAAAGACTCTGTCTATAGAAAACACCACGGTACATTCCAGAATGGACACCAATCCCATTCCTTTTTTTTTCTTTTTTCCTTTGGTCATGGGGCCTGAACTCTGGGCCTGGGCGCTGTCCCTCAGCTCTTCAGTTCAAGGCTAGCGCCCTACCACTTGAGCCACAGCACCACTTCTGGCTTTTTCCTGCTTATGTGGTGCTGAAGAATCGAACCCAGGGCCTCATGCATGCGAGGCAAGCGCTCTACCACTGAGCCACCTTCCCAGCCCTCCAATCCCATTCCTAGTCTTACTCCACCAGGGACAAGAACGTGGCTCAGACAGAGCAGAGTCTCGCTTTGCGTCCCATGAGTCACGTCCACTGTATCTCTTAACAGCCGCCCCCCACCCCCAGCAGCATTCCAACCAATAAGAAACACCCTTGTATAGAAATACTTTGTTTTCCAATATGGTAGCCAATGAGCATTTGTAAGTGTGGAGCGCCTGAAATGACACTAGCTCAGGCAGACACGTGCTGTTGAGTCGAAAGTTCACACCGGCTTTCCAAAATTCAGTAGGCCAAGAGCAAGGAAAGCTGTATCGATAGAATTTTTTTCCAGTGGTCTGGGGATTAAACCCAAGGCCTTGTACATGCCACGCACACGTATGCCCCGAGCCACACTCCAGCCATCACTTCTATAATGATTACTTACGGTAAATAAGCATACTGGAACTAATGTCACCTGTCCTGCTTCATGTGGCCGATAGAGCATTTGGACTGAGCTTCAGGGGTTTGCCTTTGTGTCTCCCAATGTCTCCCAATACTGGGTATGCGCTCATACCGTATTCTCTGACAGAGAAACAAACACCTGGAGGTCGTGCTGGGTGGTGAATATGCTAGTGGGACTCTAAAAGCTAACAGATCACAAGATTAAGTGGTGGTGAGGAAAGTCCTCTGCTAGGCTTTGAGTAGAATAGATTGGTTTAAAAAAAACAAACAAACAACAGTGGAGAGTGCGGGAGGAAGGCTGGCTCAGGGTGAGGCTTCTCCACCATGAACTCTAAGGTGCAGAGAGCATCAAGAATGTTCAGGGGCTGGGCACTGGTGGCACATGTCTGTCATCCTAGCTCCTCAGGAGGCTGAGATCTGAGGATCATGATTCAAAGCCAGCAGGGGCAGGAAAGTCCATTGCCAATGAACTACCAGAAAACCAGACGTGGCACTGTGGCTCAAAGTGGTAGAGCACCAGCCTTGAGCCAAAGAGCTCAGGGACAGTGTCCAGGCCCTGAGTTCAAGCCCCACAACCAACCATCTTAGCAAAAGCAAGCCTGTATTCTTATGCCAGCTGTAGTGTGTGTGTGCATCCACCCCCCAAAAACTCCACCAGAGGTCCCCTCTCAGAACCCACAGCCTGCCGCTCCACTCCTCCCCCAGGACTCGGTGGGTAAGCGTGGCCTTTGACCCTGTGCTGTTGTCCCCTTGTCCCACAGGAGGACGCGGACGTGGAGTGGAAGTTCGCCCGAGCAAAGCTCTGGCTGTCGTACTTCGATGAGGGGAGGACTCTACCCGCTCCTTTTAACCTAGTGCCGAGTCCCAAATCCTTTTATTATCTCATAATGAGAATCAAGATGTGCCTCATAAAACTCTGCAAATCTAAGGCCAAAAGCTGTGAAAACGACCTTGAAATGGGCATGCTGAATTCCAAATTCAGGGTAGGTGGCATCTGGGTGGCGGGGCTAGACGCGGGCGGTGGGTGTGGGTGTGGGCTCGGATGGCAGCCCCGGGGCAGCAGCTGGAGGGGGCCACTGCCTCGCAGAATGACTGGGGCACATTGGCCAACGCCCCACACAGCAGGGTCTGCCTGTAGTACCGGAACCCCTGGGCTAGGACGACCGGTGGACACTTGGCACAGTTTGACCCCTGAGCCCCGAGAGGAGGTAACCCCTTAGTGGACTCAAGTGAGATCTGTCTACTCAGAAAGCATCTGGAGAAGGATTTGCGAGAGGAAAGTTTCCCACCCACTCTCTTCGGGTCCTGGAGACTCTCCATGTTGGTTAGCACAGGCCTAGAGGAAAGACACCCACATAATGTAACTCAGTGCCCCAAACCGAGTGCGCCAGACGACAGTCCACAGCCCCAGAGAATACCTTCCGGAACTACAGTTCCCAGGAAGAAGAATGTTCTAGAAAGCTAGACATCAGGAAGAACATCAACTTCCAGAAGGTTTTCCCTTCCGATGTATAGTTCATGCAAGTCTTGCTATGTGTGGATACATATGTGGTATCCCCCCCTCCCCTTCCAGAAGACTCGCTACCAGGCTGGCATGAAGAATTCTGAAAACCTGACATCAAACAACACCTTCAGCAAGCCCACCAGATACCAGGTGAGCACCCCCCCCCCCAGACGCCACGGCCCGGGGTTCACCCACGGTGCAGGGTCTGGCAGCCTCCCGCCCTCAGGGCACAGATGACAAGTATGTATTGAATGTCTACTATACGCCAGGGGCCCTGTCACTTACGGGAGGACACGACGCAGTTCCTGGCTTAGTGTCATGTCCAGGCTAGCAAGGGAGAGAGAGAGAGAGGAAGAATACGAGAACACACGCACGTCCAATTGAGAAAGGAGCCAGGGAGGAACGGACAGGCCTCAGAAGTGGAGAAAAACTAGAGTCTCTGCTTTAGAAGGGAACCTTCACAAGGAGCAACAGAGAGATGAGGAGCATCTGTCTGGAAAGGTCCCACAGGCAGCCAGCAGGCAGCGTAGCTAGCTGACCACGGCACAGATGGGCAATAAAGGGTTAAGTTCTCTAGGAAAGCCAACGGGTAGATGACCACTTCACCGTGGAGGAGGGGGGTGGCTTCCACCTGGGGGTCAGTGGGACAGTGGAGAAGACACATGTCCAAGGTGCGCTGTGGGCAGATAGCCACTGAGACAGGACGCTGGGCTGGGCACGGGAGGGAGCAGCCTGCGCTCAGGTAGACGGATATGGGCGTCTTCGCACCTGGGCTGGGCACTGGTGGCTGCCAAGTATGTGGTTGGGGGAATTAGAAAACGACCTTTGACGTTTGCAGTCCCTGCTTGGCCCTGGAAATAAGTGCCAAGCGTCTGTATCCATGTGAACGGGCTCCCAAGCCCGTGGTAAACGGTCATCACAAGTCATTGACTACAGAAGGGCTGGCCATGCTCTCCCTGCCTTCCTCACTCGCCACTGATCTCCTGTTGTTTGGGGGTTTGTTGTTTGTCTTTGGTGGTCCTAGGGTTTGAACTCGAGAACTTATGTTTGCTAGACAGGTGCTCTACTTCTGCACCTTTGTGCCAGCCCTTTATTACTCTGTGTGTGTGTGTGTGTGTGTGTGTGTGCGCGCGCGCAGGCGCGTGCGAGTGCGTGTGCACACGCACATTTGTTTTATGATGGTGAGATTTGAACTCAGGGCCTTGTGCTCCATCCTGCTTGCTTGGCTGGTATTCTAGCCCTTGAGTCATGCCACCAGCCTGGATTTTTGCTGATTCTGCCTGAGCTGGTTTCAATCCATCGGATCTCAACCTTCTGAGAAACTAAGATTACAGATGTGAGCCACAGGCACCCGGATTATACTATTTTTTTTTAAGATAGGCTCTTGCTTCCTGCCAGGGGCCTACACCTGGGTCCAGACCTTTCCTTTAGCCTCTTGTTACCTTTGTAGCTGGGATGACAGACATGCACCATCGCATGCAGACTCTTGAGTATCATGGATTTTTCTCCCAGTGCTAGAATAGTGATCCTCCTATTCTCAGTTTCCAAGTAGCCAGGATGACCGGTGTGAGCCTCTGATGGCCTGGTTCATCTTGGTCATTTCTTAACAGACATAGCCTGGGAGCTGACCTGAGCCTCCCTCTGCAGGGAAGCGCGGAGGTGGCGTGTTCCTGGGGCCATTTCCCAGGGGGGAGCAATTACAGACGTAACAGCTTCCAGACACAGATCTCTAATTCAGTCCCTTCGTCTGTGTCTCTGAAAGCTGGCGGTGCTGCCAGGAGGATTTAATTGCACAGTTAAGAAACACCTCATTCCTCAAAGCACTTCTGCTTTTATCAGCCGACTCAGACTAGAACCTGGCAAGTTGCCTAAGTAATCGCACACCAAATTGGGAGCGTCCTGTTGGATCCGCCTCCCGTTATCCTACAGCCCAAATCCTTTGGTCGCTGGAAGGACTTTTTTTTTTAATTTCTCAGCTTTTCCAAGAGAAGAATAGATTATGTGGGTCACGGGAAAGATAGAGCATCCTAATGGGTTAAGGCCCGATCTCGGCTGCTGAGATGAAGACTTCGGATACAAGAATCTCCTGTGCCGGGAAGGATGAAGAAGCCATTTTCCAATGGTCTCAGAGCGAGCCAGCTTCTTCTATCAGCAGAGACTAAATCCTCCCTGCCTCAAATATCTCCCCAGCAACTTCCGCTGGAGCTGACAGACAGTTGGCAGCTTCAGGCTACCGACGACCTTGGGAAGCTTGGCTCACCTGTGTTGTGTGAATCCAGAAAGAAAAGCCCCGGGCGACATATTCAAATCACAGACAAGAAGAAACAAAGGGAAAAAGTGTGGGCGGGCCTCAGAGGCGCGGGCCGAGGGGACAGGAGGGACCCTGCGCTGGGCCCGGCTAGGTCGTCCCCGGTGGGTGATGGCTTCCTGCGCCATCCTTAGGGAACACGCTGGAAACCAGCTAGATGCCGCGACCGACAGGTGCAGCTTCTGCATGGTCCCCGGAAAAAGTGCTATGAACCTGCGCGCCACTGACTCACAAAGGAACGGACACTGTGGCCCGGGCCCCCAAGGGGCCGTCACCAGCTGGCTCTCAGCACACAAGCCGGGTGGCTGCCTGTCCTCCCTCTTCCTGGCACTCCAAAGCCTGCCTTGCCGGGCTCTGCCAGATCCCTACGTGCGCTCTGCGGAGCCCCGGGGCCTGGGGAGAGAACTCGGCCTTGCCTGGCAGCGCCGGGGAAGGTGATGCACGAGTTGGGCAGAGAACTGGGCATGGCGTCCCAGGTTCCTGGGGGGGGGGCCTTCCAGATTGTTTCCCTCCAACACCTTGCAGACGTGTGGTGACCAGGAGGAGCCCCCTGTACCCCCTCTGCCAAGCACCCTCTCGCTGACCGCGTGGTGGGCCCTCCCACCGCCAGCGTTGCTGTGCGATGCCAACATGGCGGCGCACCATCCTTCATTCACACACGCTAGCCGGCTGGCTGCCTTCCCGCGCCTTCCCAGGGTCTCCTGGACAGCGGATTCTCTCCCCCGTGTCTGTCTGAGGCTTGTCTGCTCTACGCAGTCCTTTGTGCAGCCCCTCTCTCTCTCTCTTTGGAGAGAGCTTCCTAGACTCTCGGTGCCTTGCTCTGCCCAGGTTGCCAGGCATCTGCCTTGTTGTTTTTCATGAAGCTCCTTTCTCATGGCTGCAATGTCCTTTCCAGCCTGGACAGGAGACCAAACAACGGGACGCAGCCAGACTACTGGAGGGCTGGCGACCTCACACACAGCAGCTTCTACCCAAGTGTCCTCGTTTCTTGCCATCTAGAGAGTAGAGGTCAAAGCTAGTAGGCAAGACAGCTTGTCTGCGCTGCTGCTTCTCTTCTGAGGCCAGGCAGTACTGGTCCACTGTCCACACGCTGCTCAGCGTCTCTGTGCCTGGGTGGTGAAAGAGGCTGTTTCCATTCATTCTATTCAGCCATCTTCAACCTACCATTCATGTTCCCTCCTCGGTGGTGCTGCTTCCCCCTGGTTGAACAGGAACACCGCCTCTACCTGGAAAGACGTTCCAGGCTTCCCCTCACCACCAGCAGCCAGAGAACGCCGGGCCTCCTGGCGTCTGGGAACTTTGGCAACAACCCTTGGCTACTCATGGTGCGGCTGGTTTGCACCCACGTGAGTCCTCTTCTGCCTGAGTACTGCGGCTGAGTATACCCATCTGCACGGGCAGGAGGCTCAGGGCAAAGCTCTTCTTTGTGAGCCAGAGGGAGGCTGCGGAAGACCGGCCGAGACTTCGCAAAGGAACAGACCTAGCCCCAGCTCTGGATTCTAGATCTGCCCCTTCCTGCCTGTGTGGCCTCGGGAATTCAGTCTCCCCCCCCCCCCCCCCCAGCCTCGCCTGCCTGTCAGTGCAGGCAACGCCAATCTCACGCACTTCTGCTTGCTCTCAAAAGGCAGCAAACTGTAACTAAGTCTGGGCGCGTGGCTCAAGCGGTAGAGCACCAGCCCTGTAAGTGCGAGGCCCTCAATTCAAGCCCTAGCACAACCAAAATATAATCTACCCATTCCATAACAGAGTCCATGGACAGGAAAGCTTTTTATAACTTTTATAAAAGGAAGTGATAGAGAAGAAATGTTATATAACAAATAATAAAGATAAAATGTATCTGCCTAGATCTTTTTCAAACTCACGTCAGCCTGCGAATGTGCAGTAGACAAACGCTCCTGAGTATTTTTTTATTCCGTGAGAATGACAGATACTTAGGTAGCTGCAGGGTGTGTGTGTGTGTGTGTGTGTGTGTGTGTGTGTGTGTGTGTGTGTGTGTGTGTGTGTGTGTGTGTGTGTGTGTGTGTGTGTGTGTGTGTGTGTGTGTGTGTGTGTGTCCTATGAGACATGGTTGAAAACAACACTTGGTTTTTGTTTTGTTCTTCCAGTTCAAAGTAGAAAGCGCATCACTGATTCCCACAGTAAGGTAGTGATGGTAATAACAGATCAACTGGGCTTTGTTGAACGGAAGAGGGGTGTCCCCGAGAATTTTAACCACTCACATGCTAAACCTACGCCGTCTGAGGAGAAGCAGAGAGGCAGCTTGTCCGTGGGGGCATCCCTACACCCCCAAAATGCAGAGCCTGAGCTTGATGAGCTGTCCCAGGGCCATTGGAGAGAGAGCAGTAAAGACCGGGCCTCGTAGGGGTAAAGCCTCATAAACCTAGGCTCAGAGACGCTGTCTTGGCAGAGCCTCCCCACACAGCAAATGGAGCTTTCCATCAGTTGGTGATAAAGCCCAGTCAGCCCCCCTCGGTCATTCATCTCTCACGAGGTCACCCTGCCACGCAGCCCGGCGTGGCAGGGTGCAGGTCTGTGCAGTTCCCGGTGCAGGTCTGTGCCAGCGAGGAAAGGCTTGCCTGTGAGCTGGAGAGCCAGCGCCATGGCCGAGGGCCCGACGGCGGGGCGACCTCGTGTCCCCCTGGCTAGCGCGCATCCCTCCCGAGAGCCAGCCGTCTCCGTCCTAGAATATTTTTAAATCCTGTGATTTCTCAAGCACCCTGAAACAACTAGCTGGCAAAATCCAAAGTTCACCCCCCGCCGTCTTTCTTCCACTCGGCTCTATTCTTGGTGGCTCTTAAATGTTCACGCCTCATTGGCTTAAAGAACAGAGCGTGCGGGCTGCCTGGAAGCTCCCGGCGTGGCCCAGCACAGGGCCAAGATTCAGGAGACCTGGCCGGCAGCCCGGCCTGACTCCCGCACCACGCCTGGCACCGCTAGTGCACAGTGCACCTCGCGTGTGACATCCAAGAGGTCCCCCAGAGCTCCACCCGAGCTGACCTGCCGGGACCCCCCTCCATCCCCTCCCAGAAACAGAACTGAGGTCCAGGAAAGACGCCATGACTGGGCAGGGTGGACTGGGCAGGCTTCGCCCTACATCGACGCCTTAGAGGCGGCTTCTGCGCTGGACCAAGACACCCCTGAGCCTTTTTCTTGCTTCTCGTTTCAGAAGATCATGAAACGGCTCATAAAAAGATACGTCCTGAAGGCCCAGGTGGACAGAGAGAACGACGAAGTCAATGAAGGTAAGCCAAGGCCCCGGTTAGGCTCTGCGGGCTACAAGTCAGACCCAGGGATCTCCAACACGAGCAGCCACCGAGGGGCTGGAGCGCTGCGCTCCTGTCCGGATGCTCAGTCATCTAGGCAGAATTCACCCCCATGAGAGAGGCAGGATGGGGTCTCCGTTTTCTGTGCCCGGCAGACTCTTTTCTTTCTAAAGTTACCCATGTGGTTAGAAATCCCAGGCCTCCCTGAGTCCAAACCCAGAGGCTACTCTGTAATCCCTGCCTGTGGCGCCGCCTCTCAGAGCCAGCCCTGAGTCTCCAGCCCTGGAGCTGCTGCTCCTCCTGCCGGTGCCTGTCTGCTGCCTTCCTTCTCCACTGTGAAGGATTCATGTGCTTAGACTGCTTCCCATGGATAATCCAGAAAAGCTCCTTGGCTTAAGGCCAGCTGATTAGGGACCTTAATTCCCGTTTGCCACATCACATCGCATACAGAGATTAAGATGTGGAGGACAACATGGAGGACGGAAATGCTACTCCCCCTCTCTCCATGCTGGCCCCATCGAGCCAGCCTTGCATTCCTTGAGTTCAGGAATGACCCCCAGGCCCCAGCCCCTGCACCTCCATCTGCATATACAGACGGAGTAGCTTGTGCTCATTTACAGAGCTGGCTCAGTTCCAGCCGGCCCCAACTTGTCTCTGTTTCAAGTCCTCAGACTCTTGACAACCTGTGGTGTTCCTCTAACTAACCCCACACACACACCTAGGTACCAGGTACCTACTGATAAAAATGCAGATCCCTAGGCCCCACACACACCTACTGAATCGCAGAAGCCAGGTAGGTTATGGAGCCCGCATTGTCGGTAAGAGCATCGAGCAACTTTCAAACACCCTGCCGTTTTCCAAATTACCTTATATCCACCATCTGGGCTATTTTCCAGTCTATTTTAAGCTATTGCAGGTAAGTGAAAAAGCACACGGCCTTACACCCAGTCATTAACTTCCTTTAGATTCCTAGAATGAATATTTGCTGCCCAGAAACAGCCTCCTTCATGGCTAAAGACACTCCACACACACACACACACACACCCTTAGCTTGAGCTACAGGGGCTACCAACAGAGCCTGGCCGCTCAGTTGGAACTCTGCCTCACTGTGGGCCACCTGGGGGTACATACTGAAACTCGCCAAGGACCTGGCGGGCTCCTGACTAGGGGAATGAGCAACCCGCCACTACCCACGCTACGTGTGGGTCTCTAACATGACTGCCAGTCAGCGCGCCAGCCGTGCCAAACAGCACGTGGCTGTGGCTGACAGGAACAGAGAAGGTGTCTGGGATGCACAGGAGTCGCACAGCTCCAACAGTGCTAGAATGAGGGGAGCTAGCCGGGCACCGAGTGCAAAGAAAAGAGGGGTGTTTGTACTTGCCTGTGTGGATTAAGCGGGACTTTGACCATCTCCACGTTTTATGGAAAGCCCACCCGGGAAACAGAGATGAAAAATAGTACACTGGACTTCTACCTGCGTAAAGCCCAGAATCTACACTATCCCCTTCGTGGGTTAATAAGAAGATGCCCCCAGCCGTGGGGGTCAGGGATTTCTAACCACATGTAACCGTAAAAAGAAAAAAGTCTGCCAGGCACAGGTGGCTCAGGCCTGGAATCCTAGCTACTCTGGAGGCCGAGATCTGAGGATTGCCTTTTGAAGCCAGGCCAGACAGAGAAGTCCGTAAGGCTCTTCTCTCCAAATTAACCAGCAAAAGGTAGGACGTGGAAGTGTGGCTCACGTGGTAAAGCACTAGTCTTGAGCAGAAAAGCTCAGCGGCAGCACCCAGGCCCTGAGTTCAAGTCTCAGGACCAGCTCACACACAAAGAAATGAAAGTCTGCGCTTGGTGTGGAGCCTTGTTAGGGGAGGGGGCCATGCCGTGACCCCTCCTCCACAGACCCCTTCCACCAGCCCGCTCACGGGAAGGAAGCTGCCAGGCTCTGTGGCTGCACCGCCGTGCGGAGCCATCCTCTCTAGCACCTGGGGTTTGCCCTCCTCTGCAAATATCGACAGAGCAGAACAGCGCAGCAGGAAAACAAATGTCCCAGCTAACGAGGGAATGGCCTGGTCTTGAAATCGGCTTGTCATGGCTGGAGGCCAACATGCTCACCTCCAGCACGTGACATGAGCTGGAGACCCAATTCACGGCCCCACTCTCCACTCCTGAGGCTTCGCAGGTGGAAGATGAGTGTGCCGTTCGGTGGTGGGAAGCTGAGTGGCACTTGAGTCAGACATCTCCCTCCACCACCACGTCCACCTCCCAGTAGGACCGGGGGGGGGGGGGCCCCGCGGGCCTGTGTGCGGGGTGAGCCCTTCTTCCTATTCACTTACACTCGGCCACATCTCGTCTGTCTTTGCAGGTGAGCTGAAGGAAATCAAGCAGGATATCTCCAGCCTTCGCTACGAGCTTCTCGAGGAGAAATCCCAAGCCACTGGCGAGCTGGCAGATCTGATCCAACAGCTCAGCGAGAAATTCGGAAAGAACTTAAACAAAGATCACCGGGTGAACAAGGGCAAGGACATTTAGCAGCCTGGACGAGCATCGCAGTTTCTACCAGCATCCGGGGCCAGGCTGGATGCCCGGGGGAGGGCCCCCAAGCCCTACTGGAAATGGATCCCAGCCTACGTTCCCCAGGACCCCAAAGGATCCACTGGCTGGATCCCAGACCACCCCTGACATCTCCAGACCAGGGCTTGCCTGGACCAAAGCTGTTGTGAAACTAAGATTTTGAGCAAGGAAAACTCCCCAAGAGGAGGAAGCGCCGCCCTCCCCCCCCCCCCCGCTCCCCCCTTCCCCCCCCCCCCCCCCGCTGCCCCCAGCACACACGAGACTTCGGTCCAGGCTCAGTGAGACTCATCCTGTGGCCAAAGCAGGAAAAGGCCATCTTCCATGCGTGCGCAGGCACACACACACACACACACACACACGTGTCCTCCCACTACAAACAGGACTCAGCTCCAGCTGCGTGTCCTGGGAAGTCAAACCTCCAACATCCCACAAGCCCCTTCCTCTCTCCCCCTGACGCCCATCCACCCCCCACACACCCATCCAACCAACCAGAACCGGGAGGTAACCTGTGATCTCTTCTTAAGTGCCAGATGAGAACCCAGATAGCCTAATAGCAAATAGTTCTATTTGTTTATATATAAAAAAAAGAAAATGTTGAAAAAAAAATCCTAAATCGAACATCATACTGTAGGTAGCGCTGTTTAGAGAACAGAATCCAAATGATGTATTTTTACCTTTATTAAGATTATCTTGTATTTACTATTTTTACCTAAAATGGAAATAAAAATTACCTCATACGAGCTGGGGGACCTCTGTGGCTATGCTGGGAGGGGGTGGGGGAGGGAACGGCGGCCCACATGACCTCAGGGACCCTCAGGTCAGAGGTGCCTTGGGAAGAGAGGGAATCAAGACCCCACAAGAGGGAGTGGGGGTTGGGGTGTCACCACCCAGCCTCTCTTTCCACCCCAGACCGAGCTACCCCAGCCTCTCCAAGGTCACAAAAGAGGCAAAGGACGGAGAAAGTTTGGCCCCAGCCCTCCCCTGAGCTTGCCCACCATAGGTAGGAAGGAAGGGGAGAGGGAGTGTCAGCATCTGGCCCCCAATCTCCTGTCCTACAGGTGAGTAACACAAACAGCCACCAGAGGGCACCCACTCCCAAACAATGCCAGTTCTGGGCTCTGGAGATGCACCAGGGTTTGGGTGCACAGTGGGTTTGTTTGCCTGCACCCGTTCCCTGAATCTTTAAACAGCACTATAAGGAGCATCTCAGTTGCAAATGCAAACACCTTGAACAGGTCTTGTAAGAAGGGGGGGGGGGGTACGGCGGGGAGAAAGACACAACATAGGGAAGTTTGACTTCATTTTTCAACTGTACAATTTATATGATGAAAGTGATATGCATTCTGCAGAAACCATACACTGAGTGCTGAGCCTTCCTAGGCTGTGGGTAACAGCTTGACTGCAAGGGGAAATCACCAAACACTCCACAGTGTGCTGCCACCAGCGCTCCGTAACTTACACAATACTTCGTTATAAAATAGGCCTGGTGTTTGCCGAGCTCTGGGCTAAGGTATGTACCTGGGTTACACTACTGTGCCACTGGTCAAATGTATGAAGTGCATTTTCTTATTTTTTGTCAGTCATGGGGCTCAAACTCAGGGCCTGGGCGCTGTCCCTCAGCTCTTCAGCTCAAGGCCAGCACTCTACCACCTGAGCCACAGCACCACTTCCGGTTTTCTGGTGGTTCACTGGAGATCAGAGTCTCATGGACTTTCCTGCCCAGGCTGGCTTTGAACCGTGATCCTCAGATCTCAGCCTCCTGAGTAGCTGGGATGACAGGCGTGAGCCACCCACACCTCACTTTACGTGCATTTTTGACTTACAATACTTTCAACTTAGGATGGGTTTACTGAGCTTTCGCGCCTCTTCATAAATCCAGGAGTTCCCTGCTATATGGATGTGGAGAGGGGACTTGTGTTTCCAGATATCCAAGAAATGTATCTTTGGTAGCAAAGGTTTCTTTGCTTAACTAAGAAAACAGCAGATCAGATGCAGTTACTAAACAGAAGTGGAGGGAGGGGTGGAAACACTACAGGTACTCAGCAAAGCTGCTTGTGGCTACAGGCGATACAGGTTGTTTTGCCTAATTGGTACAGTTTCTAGGAGGGGAAGAAAAGTCAACATTTGTTGGGTCCTTAAGCAGCCGGGACGGGCAACCAGGGAACGTGTCCCACCCTCCCAACAAGATGCGGTCTCTCATTTCCCATACCTCAGGCACACGTAACTGCAGGCACTAACGCAGGCCCAGACGCTGATGAGCCTAGGCATGTGGAAATGGGCTTGCCTCTGTGGGGCCACTTCTGGACTCCAATTCCTGCCACTTTTCTCACACTCATCCGGGCCTCGGAGCCTGCGGAAGATGAGTGAATTCAACTCATTGTCAGGTGCTTACTCAGTCCCTAGCCAAAGAAGGGGTCTGGGGCAGGGCCATCTGGGGAGCGGGCCTGGCTCCTTTTCAAGCCTGCAGGCTGAATAGAGACACTGAGGCTGCTTTGCAGGAAGAGCCATTGGTTCCCCCAGGGGACAAGTTACCAATGCTTCCCGCAAGACCTCCACACGCATCTCACACTTAGCTCCATCAGAATGCTAATCCACACTTCTGGGCTGCTTTGTTCACTTTCCCTGACGGCCTTCAACCAGAGGCAGCCCCAGTTTGAAACCCCAGAACACCCTCTTCCTATCAGACCTGAATCGCAAACCTGTCTCTCGGCCACCAAAGACAAGGCTCACTAAAACACTGGGAGAAAAAAGCCAGCTCCATCCACCCACTAAAGCAATTAGTGTCACCTGTGGGGGACCAGGAGGGGAGGTCCCAGAGATAGGACCCCCGGCTGCCAGAATTCTGTAGTGAGGGAGGGAGGGGGAGAGACCCCTCTTTGGTGAGGGGTGCTATTGGAGAGGTCTGAGGTTTGATGGAGCAAATCAACACAGAGCTTAGTGATCTCCAGGCATGGGTGGCCTCCCTGGATGGCCCACGAGGAGGAGGAGGGGGAGGGGGAGGGGGAGGGGGAGGGGGAGGGGGGAGGGGGGGAGGGGGAGGAGGAGGGTGAGAAAGGACCCTGAGCAGTTTGCAGCACTCTGGAGACCAGAAAACACTTCCTGCTCCCCACCACCTGCTCTGCCCACTGGCCATCCTTCCGTCCGGCACCATCAAGCATGCGTGCAGTGTGTGTCCTCCGGTCCCTGGGGGAAGCTCTATGAGGGGGTGGTACAGGTCTGGACCCTGTTGGGCCCCTGTATTTCCAAAGCTCCTTCCCACGGCATCATCAGGCCCTGAAAAACAACATCTGTCTGCAGGACCCCAGAGCCCTGGGTCTGGCTGCACATCTGTCCAGCAGTGGCTGAACTAGCTCGCTCACAGGCTGCAAAGCCCTGCCCCGCCCAGCCCAGCCGGGCTCGAGGGCGGGAGTGAGGGGGCCCAGGCAGCCGGTGGTTAAGCCTCGAGGCCTCTCCAGTCATCTGTCACCTTCTGATGGCTCCTAATGGGACTCCACGGATCCTAGTGACACTTCTGGGCCCAAAGCCCCCAATTAGCCTCCCAGAACTGTGGCTCAGGGACACACTCCAGGAAACACAGAGACTCCTCCGCCCGTCGAAGATGATTTCTATCCCTTTCCAGCAAGATTCCAAGAAGAGACAAATTACCCAGCATACCCTTGGCAGAGCAGGCCTGCACCCCGGGCCTGGTCTGGCCCTGCAGGCAGCCAGGGTGCCCCGTCCCCTCTGCTTTGGAAGGAATGACAGAAGACAATAGAGACGGGTGAGCTGGGCTTTCCAAAGGCGACAGTTCCAGGAAGAGAAGGTGGAGGAAGAACTGATATGTAGTAGAGAGATGGTGTTGGTACAACCCGCCCCTTCAGGCACAAGGAAGCCCAGAAGGCCGCCCTGGTCCTCCGCCTTCTGTAGCTCTTGCTTAGGCCCAGGTGACCCGTGTGCCTAAGACCTGCTCGGCTCAGCGTGAGAGAGGCTCGGCTGGGCCGGCGGACATTGCTGAAGTCCCAGACGCCACCTGGCGGACCGTGTCCCTTAGTGACGCCCACTTTGAGGTGCTCCGAGCGTGTGGGTCAGGGAACAGAGCCCCACGCCATGCCATGGACACGGGGTCAGCCACACCGCCGGAGGCCACGAGCCCCAGGGACAGACACACACAGAAGCTCTCCTGGACCAGAGCCCCACACCGCCCCAGGCCGGGGCCTCCACCCGGTGGGAGGGCAGTGAGGCCCGCAGCTCCGGCACTGGTCAGCCCCCTCCAACTGCACTGCCTCCACCCACGGGCGCAGCAGCAGGGGACGAGGGCATGGGGCTGGGGGGGGGGCGGCGGGCAGAGCTCCCGCAGCTGTGACTAACCACACCCACCCCACGCTCCGCCCACACCTGACCCTGCTGCAGCCAACCAGGGGCCCAGCACCCCCCACACACAGCTGACCCAGGAAGGGGCCCATTCCAGTTGGCCTTGAGAGGGGTGTGTGTGTGTGTGTGTGTGTGTGCGTGTGTGTGTGTGTGCGTGTGCGTGCGTGTGCGTGTGCGCGCGCGTGCGAGGGAGGGAAGGAGGGAGGGAGGGAAGGAAGAAGGGAGGGAGGGAGGAAGGAGGGGAAGAGCAAAGGGAGGGAGGGCAGACCTTCTGGACCACTGGCCCTGGGCGGAGCCTCCCTGGCTCTCTGCCTTTGCAAGCTCTTCCTTGAGCACCCCCCATTCCCCCCCACCCCCCCACCCCACCCCCCCCCAGCCCCTGCCCCTCAGCTGGCTTTTGTCCCCGCTGGTTTGTAGTGGGCTTCATCCACCTCCTCAGAACCCACACCGAATGCCTCTCCCACCCTCCCCCAGCCTGGTGTCATTTGTCCGGCTAGAGGAGTCCAGGCCAGAGATGCCAGGAGGACTGGGGGACCAGGTGGGACTCTGCAGGGCGGGGAAGGCAGGGTCCAGGACGGCAGCCGCCTGAGACAGCACCTTCGGAGGAC